CCCAACTCATTCCTCAGAGAATCCTGAAGAGGCAGAACATTCCCCAGCTCAGCAGGAGACCCCAGCTCAGCCTACAGAGCATCCTGAGGAGGTAAAACCTGCAACTCAGCAGGAGCCCCCAGTTCCGCTTCCAGAGACTTTTGGAGAAGCTGAACCTTCTTCTTCAGCCCAGGAGGAGGCCTCAGCTCAGCCTGCAGAACTTCCTAATAAGGCAGAATCTTCAATCCAGCAGGAGACCCCAGCTCAGGCTCCAGGAGAGATAGAACCTTCAGCAGCCCTACAAGAACAACCAGCTCAGCTTCCAGAGCTGCCTTCTGGGGAGGTGGAACCTGCTCCAACCCAGCAGGAGCACCTAGCTCAACCTCTAGGGCATCAATGGGTGACAGTTTCGCCTCTAGGTCACCATCATGTTCAACATTTAAACCTGCCCAGTGTTAAACCTGCAGATGTGCAGGTTACCATAACACCAGAACCCACTCCAGAGGTGGAAACTCTGCCAGTTCAGCATGAGGCTGCAGCTCAGCCCTCTGTGCCCCTTGATGTGGAACCTTTTGCAACCCAGCATGAAGCCCCAACTCTGCCTCCACAGTCCCCTGAGGAAGCTGGACATTTGCCAGTTGAGCAGGAGACTCCAACTGATTCCCCAGAGCCTACAATACAGGAGAAACCTCCAGCACAGCAGGAGACCCCAGTTCAGCATCTGGAGTATCCTGGAGAAGTTAAACCTCCCACAACCCAGCAGGAGGCCCCAGCTCAGCAATCACAGGCCCCTGAGGGAGGCGAACCATCTTTAACCCAGGAGGAGGTCCCAGCCCAACCTCCAGAGACCCAGGGAGAGAGAGAACCATCTCCATCCCAGGAGGAGGCTCCAGCTCAGTTTCCACAGACCCCTGAGAAGGGTGAATCTTCAGCCCAGGGGGAGAGCCAAGGTCAGCATCCACAGACCTCTGAGGAGGTTGCACCTTCTCCAACCCAGCAGGAGGCCGAAGCTCAGCACCCTCAAGTCCCAGAGGAGAGTGAGCCTTCTTCAACCCAACAAGGGACCCCAAATCAGTATCCAGAGTCTCTTGAGGGGATTGAATCATCTCTGGCCCAGTCAGAGGCCACAATTCAGCATCCAAATCCCCTTGGGGAGGTTAAACCTTATGCAACATATCAGGAGGTCCCAAGTCAGCATCTACAGACTTCTGAGGAGGTTTACCCTTCTGCCACCCAGCAGGAAGCTGCAGCTCAGCATCCAGAGCCTTCTGGTGAGGTTGAACCTTCCCCAACCCAACAGGAGGTCCCAGCTCACTCTCCAGAGCATCATGTGGTAACAGCTTCTCCTCTAGGTCAGAGTCAAGCTCAGGTTCTGCTGTTGCCCCATGTCACTGTTAAACCTGTGGATCTGGCACTTACCATAACTCCAGAATCCACCAATGAGGTTGAAACTTCTTTACCCCAACAAGAGGCCCCAGCTCAGTCTGCAGTGTTCCCTGGGCAGTTGGAACCTTCTCCAATCCAGTCAGAGGCCCAAGATCAGCATCCAGCCCCTCCTGAAAATGTTGAACCTTCTCCGATCCAACAGGGAGTCCCAGCTCAGCCTGAAGATCTTCCTGAGGAAAATGAACTATCCCCAATTCAGCAGGAAGCTGCAGCTCAGCATCCAGAGCCTTCTAGTGAGGTTGAACCTTCTCCGGTCCATCAGGGAGGTCCAACCCAGCCTGAAGGTCTTCCTGAGGAAATTGGTGTTCCTCCAATCCAGCAGTGGAGTTCACCTCTGTCTCACATGCGTGTTGTGGGTGTAGAACCTTCTCCAGTCCAGCATGCTGTCCCAGCTCATCATCCAAACCCCAATGAGGAGATTGGGCCTTCTCCAGTTCAGCATGAGAACCTAGCTCTGCCTCCAGAGTCCTCTACAGATGTTGTATCTCAGCCTCCACTACATCATGAGGTGACATTCTCACCTTTAGGTCCCGGTAAAGCTCAGTATCCACTGTTGCCCAATATCACAGTTAAACCTACAGATCAGGAGGTTTCCATAACTCCAGTGCCAGCTAAGGCTGAACATTCTCTAGTGCAGCAGGAGTTCCCTGCTCAGGCTCCAGTTCCCCCTGAGCAGGCTGAATTTTCTCCAACCCAGTCCAAGCCTCTTTTCCAGTCTCCAGAGATCCCCAAAGATGAATCTCCTCCAGGCCAACAAGAGGTCATAGCTCAGACTCCAGACCCTCCTAAGGAGGTGGAACCTGCTTCAAGCCAATGGGAGGTCCCAGCTGAGCCATCAGAGCCCCTTAAGGAGATTGAACCATCTGCAAATGAACATGCAGTCTCAGTTCATCCTCCAAAGCCCACCAAGGAAGTCAAACCTGCAAACCAACTGGAGGCCCCAGCTCAGTCTCCTGTCCCCCAGCAGGCCCAAGCTATACCCCCTGAGCCCCCTAATGAGGTAGAACCTTCTCCCACGCAGCTGGAGGCCCCAGCTCAGCCTCCAGAACTCCCTGAGAAGGTAGAACCATCTCCAGCCCAGCAGGAAATCTCAACTCAGCCTTTAGAGCCCCCTAATGAGGCAGAATCTTCAACCCAGCAGGAGGCCCTAGCTCAGTCTCCAGTTCACCAACAGGCCCCAGCTATATCTCAGCCCCCTAAGGAGGTAGAACCTTCTCCAACTCAGCAGGAGGCCCCAGCTCAGTCCCCTGTCCCCCTGCAGGCCCCAGCTATATCTCCTGAGCCCCCTAAGGAGATAGAACCTTCTCCCACACAGCTGGAGGCCCCAGTTCAGCCTTCAGAGCCCCCTAATGATGCAGAATCTTCTCCAACCCAGCAGGGGGCCCCAGCTCAGTCCCCTGTCCCCCCACAGGCCCCAGCTACATCTCCTGAGCCCCCTAAGGAGGTAGAACCTTCTCCCACACAGCCAGAGGCCCCAGCTCAATCCCCTGTCCCCCCACAGGCCCCTGCTATATCTCCTGAGCCCCCTAAGGAGGTAGAACCTTCTCCCACACAGCCGGAGGCCCCAGCTCAGCCTTCAGAGGCCCCTAATGAGGCAGAATCTTCTCCAACTCAGCAGGAGGCCCCAGCTCAGTCCCCTGTCACCCCACAGGCCCCAGCTATAACTCCTGAGCCCCCTAAGGAAGTGGAACCTTCTTCCACGCAGCTGGAGGCCCCAGCTCAGCCTCCAGAGCCCCCTGAGAAGGTAGAACTACCTCCAGTCCAGCAGGAAACCCCAGCTCAGCCTTCAGAGCCCCCTAATGAGGCAGAATCTTCTTCAACCCAGCAGGAGGCCCCAGCTCAGGCCCCTGTCCCCCTGCAAGCCCCAGCTATATCTCCTGAGCCCCCTAAGGAAGTGGAACCTTCTCCCACACGGCCAGAGACCCCAGCTCAGCCTCTGGAGCCCCCTGAGAAAGTAGAACTATCTCCAGTCCAGCAGGAAACCCCAGCTCAGCCTTCAGAGGCCCCTAATGAGGCAGAATCTTCTTCAACCCAGCAGGAGGCCCCAGCTCAGTCCCCTGTCCCCCAACCGGCCCCAGCTATATCTCCTAAACCCCCTAAGGAGGTGGAACATTCTCCCACACAGCCAGAGGCTCAAGCTCAGCCTCCGGAGCCTCCTGAGAAGGTAGAACCATCTCCAGTCCAGCAGGAAGCCCCAGCTCAGCCTTTAGAACTCCCTGACAAAGTGGAACCTTTTCCAGTTTCTCAAGAGACCCATTCTCAGCTTCCACAGTCTCCTGAGAAGGTGGAATCCTCTCCAGTCCTGCAAGAAGCCCCATCTCTACCTCTAGAGCCCCTTAAGGAGGTAGAACCTTCTCCAACCCAGCAGGAGGCTCCAGCTCAGCCTCCAGAACCACCTAAGGAGGTTGTAGCACAACCTCCAGTCCATAAGGAGGTGATAGTTCCACCTCCAGGACAAGATCAAGCTCAGTATTCACATTTGCCCAGTGCCACTGTTAAACCTGTTGACCTGGAGCTTACTATAACTCCAGAGCCTACTACGGAGGCTGAGCATTCTACAGCCCTGCAGCAGACTCTAACTCTTCCAGAGGACCCCGTGGTGACAATTCCACATCCAGAGCATGTTCAGGCTCAGCAACCAAATTTGACTGAAGTCACTGTTCAACCTTTAGACCTGGAGCTTACTGTAACTCCAGAACCCACTACAGAGGTTGAACCTCCAACCATGCAGGAGACCCCAGATCAGCCTTCAGAGCTGCCTAAGGAGGTTGTAGGTCAGCCTCCAGCATATCAGGAGGTGACAGTTCCAACTCAAAGCCAAGATCAAACTCAACATCTATTATTACCCAACGTAACATTTCGACCTTTGGACCTGGAGCTTACCATAACTCCAGAACCCATTACAAAGGTTGAGCATTCTCCAACCATGAAGAAAACTACAGCTCCCCCAAAGGACCTTGAAGTGACATTCGCACACCTAGAGCAGATTCAGGCTCAGCATCCAACTTTGACTGAAGTCACAGTTCAACCTTTGGACCTGGGGCTTACCATAACTCCAGAATTCACTAAGGAGACTGAACTTTCTGTACCTATGCAGGAGATCCCAGTTCAGCTTCCAGAGAAACCTAAGGAGGTTGTCGTAGCTCAACCTCCAGTATATCAGGAGGAGACTGTTCCAACATCAGGTCAGGATCAAGCTCAACATCCATCATCACCCAATGTAACAGTTCAACCTTTGGACCTGGAACTTACTGTAAGTCCAGAACCCACTACAGAGGTTCAACATTCTACAACCCTGAAAAAGACTACAGCTCCTCCAAAAGACCTTGAGGTGACATTTGCACATTCAGAGGAGGTTCAGTCTCACCGTCCAACCTTAAATAAAGTCACAGTTAAACCTTTGGACCTGGAACTCACTGCAACTCCAGAATCTACTACGGAGGTTGAACATTCTTCAGCCATGCGTGAGACCCCAGATCAGCCTCCAGAGCCACCTAAAGAACTTGTTTCTCAACCTCCCATGTATCAAGAGGCAGTGGTTCCAACACCACGTCAGGATCAAGCTAAGCATCTGTGGTCATCAAATGTGACAGTTCAACCTTTGGACCTGGAGCTTACCATAACTCCAGAATCTACTACAGAGGTTAAACAGTCTACAACAGTGCAGCAGCAGCAGACTACAACTCCTCCAAAGGACCTTGAGGTGACATATCCACAGTCAGAGCAGGTTCAGTTTCAGCATCCAACCTTAAATAAAGTCACAGTTAAACCTTTGGACCTGGGTCTTACCGTAACTACAGAACGTACAACAGAGACGGAAACTTCTCCAACCACGCAAGAGACCCCAACTCAGCCTCCAGAGCTACCTAAGGAGGTTGTAGTTCAATATCCATTCCATCAGGAAGCAACAGCTCCAACTCCAAGTAAGGATCAAGGTCAGCATCCAGTTTCAGCCAGCGTCACATTTCATCATGAGGACTTGGGGCTTACCATTACTCCAGAACCTATTACAGAGGCTGAACATTCTACAACCATGAAGAAGACTACACCTTCTCCAAAGGACCTTGAGGTGACACCTGCACATCCAGAACAGGTTCAGAGTCAACATCCAAACCTGACTGAAGTCACAGTTCCACCATTGGACCTGGAAATTACTGTAACCGCAGGATCCAATATGGAGGTTGAACCTTCTCCAACCATGCAAGAGACCCCAACTCAGCCTCCAGAGCTACCTAAGGAGGTTGTAATACAATATCCATTCCATGAGGAGGTGACAACTCCAACTCCAAGTAAGGATCAAGGTCAGCATCTAGTGTCACCCAGGGTTACATTTCATCATGAGGACTTGGGGCCTACCATTACTCCAGAACCTATTACAGAGGCTGAACATTCTACAACCACAAAGAAGACTACAACTCCTCCTCCAAAGGACCATGAGGTGACACTTGCACATCCAGAACATGTTCAGAGTCAACACCCAAACCTGACTGAAACCACGGTTCTACCTATGGACCTGGAAATTACTGTAAGTCCACAACCAGAGTCATCTGAGACAGTTTTTCCCCCAACGACCCAGCATTCAGTGGTGCATTTTGTAAAATACACCCCAGAAAAGGCACGCACAGCTTTAACTGAGCCACCAGAAGAGAATGCTACCATGAACATCAACATATGTGAGCTCTGTACCTGCAAAGATGAGACGCTGTCATGTACTGGTTTCAGCCCAAAGCAGAGGCTCCGCAGAGTGCCTGTGCCAGAGCCCAACACCTACAATGGCACCTTCACCATCTTGTAAGAATTGCCTTTTCTCATTTGTTCTCTGCCTTGTGCTTGATATGGCAGCCTTTTCTTCGAGGTCTTCCTGGGCCTTCCTCATCTTCCCTACCCATGCTGACTTTCTGTTTTTACCTTTTCTTTGTCAACTATCCCTTGTCTTCATTTTGCTGTTTGCTATCATTCCCCTTCTCTGATCTTTTACTTGCAGTTGTCCTTATTCTTTCTTCTTATCCAGTTTTTTATCCCCATCATTTCATTCCTTAACCTCTACTCTCCCGTTTTGGCTCCATCCTCTTTACAGCAACATGCCCCTCTCTCCATCTCCTTAGTGGTGATACAACAGAGTGGTTAAGAGTAAGATTCTGGAACTAGACTGCCTGGGTTTGAGCCGAGGTCTGTCACTTCAGAGCTTTTGACTCAGTTTCCTTTCCTGTAAAATGGGGATTATTAGCGTTAACACCTTGTGGGATTATTTTGAGATTTAGATGAGTTAATATATATAAAACACTTGTATCGGTGCCTAGCATATATATGAGTGTTAGCTATTATTATTTGACTCCTCAGTTACGTTCAAAACTCATCTTTGTCCCCGGCCTTCTATATACAGAACCTATTTTGAGCCTAGCCCAGGACTCAGTACTGTGGGAGCCATACAAGTATGACATTGTCTTTAGAACATGAAATGATAAGTGGGAAGAAAGGAAATATGCATAGAAAGGGAGGTGACCTATGATTAAGTACAGACCATAGGTGCTGTATTTCACCAGAATCTGTAATCAATGGAGTACGGAAGTGAGGGAAAGCTGCATGGATAAACTAAAACTTTAGCTGAGACTTAAAGAGCTATGATTTGTTAAATAGAGCAAAAATAGGAAGTATAGTCTAGGTAAAGTCATGGCTGCAAGAATGGTCAGGAATTAAAAATTAGGAATCAGTGAAAGATAGATTATGAAAACCCTTGACTATCAGTTACAGGGGTTTGAAATTTACACTCTGAGATATAGAGAGCCATGAAAATGTTCTAGCAAGAGATACATAACAGTAAAAGAAGAGGATTGTTTTTGATTCCCTAAGTAGAACGATCTAGAGAGGAAATCTTGATCTAGGGAGACCAGATAGAATGCTCTAGCAAAAGCTCGGAGTAAAGTGACAAGGAGCTGTATGAGAGAGACTGTGATAGGAGTAGAAAGAAAATCCTGAGAGCACCGCAAAGGAAAAAGCGAGAAGATCGACTAACTGATGAGAATAGCGGGTAGTGTGTCCAGGAAAGAGAAAAATGAAATACGACTCTCAAAGTTTCGGTCCTGGATGAGCAGACCGATGGCAGTAGAACAGGTGGAAACAGCAGTTGGGAAGGAGAGCCAGTTTGAGGGAGATAAGTTCAGCTTTAAACATTTTTATCAGGGAACATAAAGCAACCAGAAGGCTTCTGGTAGGCTGGAAATGGCCACCAGGCAGATGGGCAGATGGGTACCATCAAAACATTTGTCTTATTTCTGACTTCCCTGAAAAAAAATGTGTATATAAACTGAATAGCTAAGTTGTTGCTGAGGAAAGAAGACAAAGCTAAAGGTAAAGATTCAAAGTCATACATAGAGTTAGTGGTTGAAACTGAGTCTCAGGCATTTCATAGCTTCTTTTTAACACATGCAATTCTTGGATACATTCTCACTGTTGTTTTTGTGTTGTTTTGTTTTGTTTTGTTTTGTTTTGTTTTTGTTTTTGTTTTTAATGTGAAAATCCCACCCCAGCTTCCCCACCACCCGTAAGATAACTCCTGTTACCATTTTGGTGTGTGTCCTTCCTTCCTATTCCATTCCTTTGCAGTTTCCCCTAACAAGGTAATACTTTTTATTCCTTGCTCAGTGGCTTGTTGCCTTTCCCTATGCAGTATCTGTAAGAAACCTCTCCGTATTAGTTCTTCTAATTTCTAACTTCCCTTATCCTTCTAACAGCTGGAGGGGTTTCAACAGAGTACACTGAGCCAAAGCTTTGGTGTTACCTCACTTAGGATTTCTTTACCTCTGTTTGCTGATAATGATACACTTTTGCCATGTTTCTGTTGAATTATTATTTTCTCACTGATTTACAGAAGGAGCTATTTTAGACACATAAGTGATTTTGGAAAAAATACTTATATTCAAAGTCATTAACTGGCATTATCTGTCCAAGAAATTGGACACATAGGAAGTTCAGGTTCTAGGGAAATGCCTTGTTTGTGCCAGCGGCCTCACATCATCTCTATTAATTGTGCGAAGTGGGATGCTGATTGCTGTGGAAATTAGAAAGCTGGTGTTTTCTGCATGTGAATATTCCCCACAAGGTTGCCAGTGCTTCTTTTACTTATTCTGTTCATTCTTTTCCTACCTATTCAAGGATCTGAACTGTGTTTCTTCACAGAAATTTCCAAGGAAATTCTATTTCTTACATTGATGAAAATATATGGAAGGCATATCGATGGGCTGAGAAACTGTGAGTATATTCTCTCCAAATACAATACAAAAAACTTAACTGCATTCTAAGATCCTTCTTGGTCCAGAATTTTGAAGTCAGTAGCTCTGAGGAAAGGTATTTTCCCCTCCTTATCCCAAATCAACCTCTCTTGATTCCAATTCTATATTTATCTTAAAAATTAAATTTGGCAGGCTCTCTTTAAAATTAGAGCCAATCTAAACTTATTTTTCATTATACAAGGAATACATGATTACATTCTCAATAGATAAAAGTGAAAGAATAGATATAGTGGACATCCTCCTTGTGTTTTGATCTCCCACCGCCAAAATAGCACTAGTCTGGATTTAGTATATATCCTTCCAGACATTTCCATGTATTTGTCTACATACATATTTATAGACAACAAAACAGGTTTGTTGTGTGCCTTCTTTCTTTTCCTTTCCTTTCCTTTTCTTTCTTTCCTTCCTTCCTTCCTTCCTTCCTTCCTTCCTTCTCTCTCTCTCTCCTTTCCTTCAACCCTCCCTTCCTTCCTCCATTCACTCCTTCCTTCCTTCCTTCCTTTTACATAAACAGTAACATCCTATAACTCGATTCTTTTTCTTCATGGTAGGTCTTAGATTTCTTTTCTTCTAGTACATAGGGGGTTACCCCATTCATGTGAATTCCTGCATAATATTCCATACTATGAATGTATTACAATTTAATAATTTCCCCTACTGATGGATGTTTAGATTGTGTCCAGTTTTCTTGTCATTTGCATTGCTGCCATGAACTGCCTCATCCATGCATCTCTGTGTACATGGGTGGGGATTTCTGTAGAATACATATCTAGAAATGGAATCATTGGTATGAAGACAATGTATATGTACAATTTTAATGGCCCTCAAAAAAATTGTGCCGACTTACGCTCCAACCCATAGACCATGACAGGATTCACATCCTCACACTCCTCCACCACTGGATATTCTCCACTTCTTGGCTGATCTGATGAGTGAATAAAAGGGGTCTCAGCTGAATTTGAAGTTTTCTGATTACTTATAAATTTACTATATCTCTTTGTTTACTGAACATTTGTATTTCATGTCTGAATTTTCTGTCCTTTTCCAATTTCTTGTTATCTTTTTTTAATTGATTTGTAGAAAAAGTCAATGTGGATACAAATGATTTTGGAAAAAATATTACAAGCAAGACAATTAACTGGCATTTTTCATCACAGCTTGTGTGTCGTATCAGTAGTTCAACTTGAGTAGATAAGTTAAAAATGACTACTGAATTAGCAATAAAAGACATAGTAGTCATAGTAATCTAAAAATAGGAATTATGATTCCCCTAAAGTAAATCCCCCACCCTTAGTCTGCTATCTTATTAGTAAGAGAGAAGGGCTAGAACCAAGCAATTTTTTTTATTTTATGAATTTCTTAAATACTATGTATAGTTTATGTTTCCCCGTGATAGTGTCTGGCTTGGAGATTTTATTTCCCAAACTTGTAAGAAAACTGAAAGTAATTCGGCACCATAAACAAATAATGTTAGTTTTCTGTAGGGAGTGGAGGGGGAGGATGGGTAGGCTAAGGGACAGGAATAGCAGAAAAACTTTGTGCACTATATACCTTTGGAATTTTGAGCCATGTGAATATATATATATATAAATATATTTTTTAAAAAATAAGTAGAAATTTAAAAATTAATTTTTAAAAAGCATGTGTTTGGGAATTAATTACTAGAACATGAATCTAGTAAGATTTGCAGATTTCTAATTCAGCTTGAGGGTTGTACCTTGTAAGGTGGACTTTCCTAACTGTGGATCACTAATCTGTTAACACTTAAATAACAAGATATAGTTATAGGTCTAATAACTATTATAACTTCAAGGTAGTGGTGAGAATAAATGACATTTTGAGATATTTATGACAAATATGCGATATATCATTTTATCATCCATCCAAGTTTGGCCCTCCGATTTCAATCCATTCTCCTCACAGATCTGTACCCTAAAGGGGGATGATCCACAAATTGAAATCATGGGCACACCTTTGGGAATATTCAAGAAAGTGCAGTTTTTTAGGGAAAAGGTTCATAGCTTTTATGAAATTCTCAAAAGGTTCTTGTTTCAAAAGATTGAGATTGAGTCACAAATTAAGGAGTGGGGTTGGAGAAAGACATTTATTATGCTGTAAAGTTGTACTTATCCTCATAAGTGATAACAAATGGATAATTTATTTTAAATAAACGTATAGTATGTTTGCAAATTGATACCTGTCACTTTCTGAGTTCATTCAACAAATATTTATAAGCATCTACTATGTGCCAAGAACTGTTTTACATGCCTGGGATAGAGGCTTAAGAACAAAATCGACCAAATATCCCAGTTCTTGAGGGGTTTACAAATATATAATATAAAAACAAATATGTAAATATAATAGAGAAAATTTCAAGTGCTGATAAAAAATCATTAGCCATCCAGAAATCTCTGTTTTCTAATTTTATTATTCAACTGCCATTTCTGCTGCTCATAGACTGAGTTTTTTATTAATGATAACCCTTTTCATTCATATAATCTTGAGTTGGTTCTTTTTTAATGGATGTGCTGTTTACATCTGTCTGAGGATATTAATTATACCATTCTAAAATTCTCCTGGGCTTTCCCTGTTAACTTGGATTCATTGGCTTTGAACTCTTTTGTTTGTTTTTATTTTCTGTCCTTAATGGATGGCTTTCTCACACCGTGTGGTCATTCCTGAGTGCAATTTATTTTGTAGTTGAGATTCTACCGCTTCTGTTTTCTGGCACTAGGGAATAGGTGAAAACAAGCTGCGGGGGCTTGTTTTTCTGTGATGGATTCCCCTAAGAATTAAGGAAGAGGAGGTGGGAGGTCATTCTAGTGGTGAGTCAGAGAGGGCATTCCCTTCCTCCAGGGTTCTGGGACCCTGACGTCTTCCCGACACCAATTGCTCCTAGCTGGAAGAAGATACCCTTTGTCGCCTGGTCCAGGGAGGAAGGATGAGGGGTTGATATGCTGCTCCTGCTCCTCCCACCTGATCCCAACTAACCACCCCGTGGGTCGCTCCAGGGCATTTCTAGTAAGGGAATGTTTGTGGAACTATTCCTGTGTCCTTGAGCTAAGGTTGTGGACTTTTAAATTTATGTTTTCTGTCATTTTTAGGGACTTTGGTGGAGGTTGGAAGGGTAGAAACTTGGCCTGTTTCAATCTGCCAACTTGAAATAGCACAACCTCTTAGGAAAACAATTTTGTAACCCTGTTAAATCCTAGAGAAACTTATGCACAAGTACAAGAATGTTCAAAGCAGCATTGTTTTTATAACTAAAAACTAGAAAAATCTAGTATCCACCAACAGTAGAATGAATATATAAAGTGTGGTATAGTCATAAAATAGAATACTATTCATTTGAAATATAATGTAAGCCACATAAGTCATCTCAGATTTTCTGGTAGCTGCTTAAAAATTAAAAGTAAAAAGACAGGGGCGCCTGGGTGGCTCAGTGGGTTAGGCCGCTGCCTTCGGCTCAGGTCATGATCTCAGAGTCCTGGGATCGAGCCCCACGTCGGGCTCTCTGCTCAGCGGGGAGCCTGCTTCCTCCTCTCTCTCTGCCTGCCTCTCTGCCTGCTTGTGATCTCTCTGTCAAATAAATAAATAAAATCTTTAAAAAAATAATAATAAAAAAATAAAAGTAAAAAGACAGAGATGACATAAATGTTAATATATTTTGTTTAGCTCATATAGCCAAAGTATTATCATTTCAACATGTAATCATTATATATGTTATTAATAAGATAGTCTACATTTAAACTGCCTTCACAGTATCCAAAGTATCATCATTCCTGCATGTAGTCAGTGTAAAAATTATTAATGAGGGAGTTTATGTTCTTTTCCCCATACTAACTTTTTGAAATCTCAATTTGGTTGCTATTTTTTTTATCAGAAATACTTGATCTGTATTTAGATGTCATAAAATTCACAGTTTAAAAAGTAACATCACAGACCCACATTGTTGCAAACATATTTAAACATTTTCTAATAACTGTTGAGTATCAGGTTTTTTTAATTTAAATTTTAAAATAATTGAAGTTAATTAAATTAAAAATTGAGCTCCTCAGTCACACTAGTCACTTCCAAGTATACAGTAGCCACATGTAGCAAGACATGAAATACTAGGCATTGAAATGAACCAGCCTCAGCTACGTGCAACAATATAATGAATTAACAACATAATATTGGGTGAGAGACGCAACATAGAAAATAATACATATAATATGATTCCATTTACATAGAGTTAGAGTTCAAGAAGAAGCAAAACCAAGTTATGTTGTTTACAGCTGCATATGATAGGTAAACCTACATTGAAAAAGCAAGGAAATTAGGGGTTCCAGGGTGGCTCAGTTGGCTAAGCATTCCAACCCTTGACTTGGGCTCAGGTCATGATCCTCAGGGTCATGGGACAGGGCTCCATACTCAGTGGGGAGTCTGATGGAGATTCTCTGTCTCCCTCTTCCTCTGCCCCTCCCTATCTCTCTCTCTCAAATTAATAAATAAATCTTTAAAAATAAATAAATAAACACACCAAAAAGCCAGGAAATTCTTATTAGAGTCAGTGGTGACTTCTGGAGAATCCGAGAGCAGATTGGGATTAGCAGGGGCACACTGGGGTCTCCTGGGATGCTGGTAGCACTTTCTTGATAAGAATGGTGTTATGTGGGTATTTGTTGATAATTATTAAACTGAACATTTTTAATGCACGTTTTTGTAGTTCTGAAAAACATTTTTTAGTTGGGGGGAAAAAAATCGAATGGCCTTTCCCTACCACACTGCTATAGCTATGTATAGGGCTTCCGAACAGAATTTGGGAAAAGAGAAGAGGAAATGGCAGTTCTGCCAGTGTGTCGTTGGGACCCAGAGCTGGGTTCTAGCAGAGACTTTGTGATCCAGAGAGTAGGCATTAAATATGCATTTTGGTACAAAGAGTGGATAGGGGTGTGTGTGTGTGTGAGAGAGAGAGAGAAAGAGAGAGAGAGAGAGAGATGGAGAGAGATGGACACAAAGGAGTACATGAAAAGAAGGATTTGAATGGAAACAGAGCAGAGATCAGTACTCCTAAATTAAACAAGAATTAATATATTGAGGGGGCACCATTTCCCAGGTTTCCCTCCCATATGGAAGTTAGTCCTAGGTAGTAAATAGTTGTAGTTATTTTGCATTTTGATGCAGAAATAACCTTTTCATTTTTCAGAATTCTCAGTGAAAATTCTTTGACCGAATTACATAAGGACTCTTTTGAAGGCCTGCTATCCCTCCAGTATTTGTAAGTTAATCATTTATTATGACTTTTTAGTTAAGTTATCTCAAAATAAATATGGGTTCAAATTAGATAATCGCGACCATTTCTTCTAACAATAAAATTCTACAGTTCTGTAAGTCTGTAGGGCCCCAGCCCATCTCTAGCATTAAATATCTTCTATGCATTTTCCATTTTCTAATTTTATAGACAAGATATAGATAGAAAAAGACCCTACAGTTATAGAGCAAAAGGGGTAATGAGGTCTGAGCAATTATGGACACCCATATGAACCTTCTTCTGTAAGTTTTCATAAACCATCTGCTTACATATTTATATTTAGTTTATGGCTCATGGATCAAATCCCACCCATGGTCTGTCTTTATACAGCCTATGAGTTAAGAATGATTTTTACACTCTTAGAGGGCTATAAAAGAGAAAAGAAGAGAAAGAGAGGACTATGCAACAGAGACAGTATGTGGCCTGCAAACCCCAAAATATTTACTATCTGGCCTTTACAGAAAAGGTTTTAAAAGTTGGTTTAGTAAAATGAGAGGAATTAAAGTTAACCTCAAATTGTCACCTACAGGACAAGAAATGTAGAACACTTACATTAATTTGAATGCCATTAACCCAGATTTTTTTAATAATTTAAATTAAATATTTATAGGCTAAATATTTAATTAAGCAGGTAAATTATGTAAGCAGTATTATCAAGTACATATTAAGTTACCAAAAGAACAGATTCAGGATTTCAGTGTGGGAATTCTTATACCAGTATTAAAAATAGATGTTTAGAATGATGGTTAAGGGGTGCCTGGTTGGTAGAGCAAGCGACTCTGGGTCTTGGGGTTGTAGGTTCAAAACCCATGCTGGGTTTAGAGATTACTTAAGAAAACTAAAATCTTAAAAATAAATAAATAAGGTGTGCCTGGGTGGCTCAGTCAGTTAAGTGTCTGCCTCAACTCAGATCATGATCCCAGGATCCTGAGATCAAGTCCCCTTTTCAGCTCCTTGCTCAGCAGGGAGCCTGCTTCTCCCTCTGCCTGCCACTCCCTCAGCTGGTGCACTTGTGCACTCTCACACACACACACACACACACACACGCAAATAAATAAATAAAATCTAAAAAAATAAAATTATGGTTAAGTGGTATAGTTAGAAATGTCACTAAATAAACATATCAGAAATGCCCCTAACTTCACTAATTACAAAATAAAATCTCTCCAGCCTCATTCTAAAGGAGGAAATGTTTGCATAGTATTTCATAGTATAGAGATACTATGTTCTTTGCTATGAAGGTTCTATTTTTATTCTTTAAAAAATTTTTTTTAATTTAATTTTTTTTCAGTGTTCCAAGATTCATTGTTTATGCACCACACCCAGTGCTCCATGCAATATGAGCCCTCCTTAATACCCACCACCAGGTTCAACCAACCCCCCCACCATCCAAAACCCTCAGTTTGTTTCTCAGAATCCACAGCTTCTCATGGTTCGTCTCCCTCTCCGATTTCCCCCAACTCACTTCTCCTCTCCAACTCCCAATGTTCTCTGTGTTGTTCCTTATACTCTACAAGTAGTGAAACCATATGATAATTGACCCTCTCTGCTTGACTTATTTCACTCAGAATAATCTCCTCCAGTCCTGTCCATGTTGATACAAAAGTTGGGTATTCATCCTTTCTGATGGAGGCATAGTACTCCATAGCGTATATGAACCACATCTTCCTTATCCATTCATCTGTTGAAGGGCATCTTGGCTCTTTCCATGGTTTGGCGACTGTGGCCATTGCTGCTATGAACATTGGGGTATAGATGGCCCTTCTTTTCACTACATCTGTGTCTTTTAAAAATAGAGCTACCCTGTGACCCTGCAATTGCACTCTTTTTAAAAATTTTTTAAAAATACATTATTTATTTACTTGACAGAGAGTGAGAGCATGAGCAGGGGGAAGGAACAAGAGGAGAGGACTCCCTGCTGAGCAGGGAGCCTGATGCTAGATGAAATCCCAGGACCCTGGGATCATGACTTCAGCAGAAGGCAGACACTTAACTGACTGAGCCACCGAGGTGCCTGGTTCAATTTTTATTCTTTGTCCATGGCATCCAGAGCTCTGTATGTCATTAATCTTTATTAATGATGTTCTTTAGCATATAGATTCTTCTTGTAAATGTAAAAGGTCTAAGGGTAGTGGGTAAAAAGAGCTTGATATGGCACTAAGAATAGTCCTTTAAATGATCAAACCATCCACGTCTTAGGAGACAACCGCCCTTGTGTTGGTCTTCTTGGATACCTCTGCCGTCTGGACTCCAAACCTTACAAACACAGTTTGGAGAAGGACAAATGAGAAGAACTGCTCAATGGATTAGGCCCTTCGTTACTTCTATGAAATACTTTGTAAACCAATTATTTTATGTTAGCTGAAGTATTCTCATTCATTTAAAAAACTGTCAATCAAAAGCTCATATGACAGGCACTGTGCCCGGTCTCATAGGCACACAGATGGTTAAGAAAGGCTTCCTACCCTTGCAGGAACTCATGATCTCACAAGGAAAATAAACAGAAGTTCAAACCATAATGTGTGAAGCACTAAGTGGACACAGCGCTGGCGAGGTGCAGAAGAGGGAGCCATAAAGTCATAAAACTACATTTCTTTTTTTTTTTTAAGATTTTATTTATTTATTTGACAGCTAGAGATCACAAGTAGGCAGAGAGGCAGACAGAGTGGGGGGGAAGCAGGCTCCCCTGCTAAGCAGAGAGCCCCAGGTGGGGCTCGATCCCAGGACCCCAGGATCATGACCCGAGCCGAAGGCAGAGGCTTTAACCCACTGAGCCACCCAGGCACCCCGTAAAACTACATTTTCCCTCTGCTACTCACTACAGTCATTTTCCCTCTGCTACTCACTACCCAGATATTCATTTATTTTATAAATACATAAATACATGTGTCAGTTTTAAACATGGTAGGCAATGCAGATGAACACGAGTAGTCCACACTTTCAAGGAGTTTATGCTCAGAGGAAATGGGATGCAAAAATAACTATATTAAAAAGAAATTGGGGGGGGCACCTGGGTGGCTTAGTGGGTTAAAGCCTCTGCCTTCGGCTCAGGTCATGGTCTCAGGGTCCTGGGATCGAGTCCCGCATCGGGTTCTCTCTACTCAGCAGGGAGCCTGCTTCCCCCTCTCTCTCTGCCTGCCTCTCTACTTGTGATCTCTCTCTGTCAAATAAAAAATAAAATTAAAAAAAAAAAAAAAAGAAATTGGGGTGCCTGCCTGGCTGAGTCGGTAGAGCATGTGACTCTTGATCTTGGTATCGTGAGTTCAAGCCCCAGGTTGGGCATGGAGTGTACTTAAAACTTTTTTTAGAAGGAAGGAGAAGGAGAAATGGATACGGGCAATGGGAACACAGATAAGGGGAAAAAGACTTCATTTGGATCAGGGAAGCTACCAGAGCAATGCTGTTTGAACAGGACCCTGAAGAGCTATTGGGTTTCATCAGACAGACATCTTGGGAAGAATAAGCTTGCAAAGGAGAATGGGAGGAAGGCAAAACGCAGGGACAATATCTTGGATACCTGTAGAGTAGGAGATTAGAGCCAGATCTTCTAGGATTTTGAAGGCCATGGATGACATGCCAAGTTACTGGGTAATCACAGCAGTGCTCCAGGACAGATTTAGCCTGCAGCAGAGTCACCTGGACGGCTTGTCAGAACACAGTTACTGACGCCGTCAGTCCCAAGTAGGGCTGAGAATTTGCATCTTGAGTAATTTCTCAAGGGATGCTGGTATTTGAGAACCACTCCAGGAGAATTGATCTGGTCACTGTGTGCAGGGTGGATTAGAAAGGGAGAGACTGGAGATGGCAGTGCCTATCAGAAGACGAGGTGGAAAGTGAGGGACTAAGCTGGGATCAATGGAAATAAGAGTCAACTAGAATCAAGAATGGGTGTTTTCAAATAAAAATCCAGTACCCTGTAGTTTGTTGTTGTCTCACCACCTGAGACAACAGTTAATAAATAAGGCAGTGTACAACCAAAAATGAATTTCTGTTAACATGACAATGTAATTCTGAGTTAGTTCAAAGTGATATACTGATTAGAGGAGTAACTTCCTTTCAAGTTAAATGAAAGGTTATCTTTTATTTCTTCTGTTATTGAATTGGGCTAGAAAAATAGAACTCAACCAAGAAGGTGTGCTAATGTGAGAATATCCCTTTTAATATTAGAAATTATAATTATAGGGGCACCTGGGTGGTACAGTCAGTTGAGCATATGACTCGTGGTTTCAGCTCAGGTCATGATCTCAGGGTCCCGAAATGGAGCCCCACATTGGGCTCTGTGTTCAGTGCAGAGTCTGCTTTGGGATTCTCTCTCCCTCTCCCTCTGCCCTTCCTCCTTGTGCACTCTCTTTCTCCCTCTCTAAAATAAATAAATCACAAGCAGGCAGAATCTCAGACAGAGGCAGAGAGAGAAGCAGGCTCCCTGCTGGACAAGGAGCCTGATGTGGTACTCGATCCCAGGACCCTGGGATCATGACCTGAGGCAAAGGCAGTGGCTTAACCGACTGAGCCACCCAGGCATCCCTAAATAAATCTTTTTAAAAAAAGAAATTATAATTATATGTGGAGATAAAAACTTCGAGCTCGTAATCTAGAAGTTGATGAGGTCACAAAAGATCTTCTACTCAATTCTTCTGCTCTCAGTAAAGATTACTTCCAAGATCTATCAAGATCTATGTTGTAGATTTTATTTATGAAGATCATGAAAGTCAGACTCTTTTAAGAGAGGTGAGGACAGAGTTAGGGGCTCCAGAAGGCTTTCAAATAACAATTCCTGAGATTCAGAGTTTAGTCAAAAGCTACTTATTCAATACTATCATCCTACTAATTAGATATCCAATAGCTAATTGAGGCAATATTTTTCTTTTACTTTTCCTAGAGATTTATCCTGCAATAAAATACAATCTATTGAAAGACGTACATTTGAACCACTACCCTTTTTGCAGTTTATGTAAGTTACAAATATAATTTTATTATATTTGGAATGTTTTTAAAAACTTAATTGTAAGCCTCTTTGTTATCATCACTCTGAAATACGATTGAGATTTTATTAGTAGAAAGCTACTAAAATTATTTAGCAAATCTTTTTTTTTTTTTTTGTCTGTAGCAAAGATTAATGTGAGAATTATTATACTGATCAGACCGAATCATTCTAGAGCAGTGGTTCTCAACCAGGGTGATTTTGCACCCAGGTGACATTTGGCAGTGTCTGGAGACATTTTGGGTTGTCAGACTGTAGATGAGCTACTGGCATCTAGTGGGCGGAGGCCAGAGATGCTGTTAAATGCCCCACAGTGCATAGGGCTGCCTCTCCTAACAAAGATGATCCAGCCACAGATGTCAGTAGCGCTGACACTACGAAACATTTTTCTAGATAAAGATTACTTAACACAAGTATTTATTAAACATTTACTGATTTGTATCTAATGCACCACATGTATAAACATGAAAGTATAAATCTTTCATGCAATTTTTTTTAAAGTAAGTATCTTCCATAGTGAGTTTTGTGTGTGTGTGTGTATGTACTAAGAGAGGATTGAGGTTATGTTTTATCATATATAAATTGGAATCACTAGCAAAGGTTAAATGTTCTGAAAGAATATCTTTTGTTTTCTTCTTTTGCTTGTGTCTTTTTTTTTAGAAATCTTGGTTGCAATTTGCTCACAGAACTGAGCTTTGGAACATTTCAGGCCTGGCATGGAATGCAGTTTTTACACAAGTTGTAAGTGAAATAGAAAATGAATACATGTTAAAAAAAAAAAAAACCCATGTGTAAAAACATACAGTTATTGGTTCGGTGGGTGTAATAAGTCCAGTATGAACTCTGAAAAGTATGTCTTAAAATCTACTCATTCTTTCAAATGAGGAAACTCAGGTACAAAGAGGCCAAGAGACTTGTCTGTCTCAAAAATGGCAGTCTCCGCTTTCCCTAGGACTCAGCTTTGGTGTGGGCAATAAAAGACCCCAAGCAAATAACAAATAACAAATCAGCATTATCCTGGGAATCCATGACAACGATGCTTCTCCAACAGGTGCAGGGTCCTTGAAATGCTACTTTTGAATTTAACTTTGATTCCTGCTCATGTGCAAAGTTCCTAACTGCTTCAAGGCATGAAAAATAAAGTTTGAAAGAACAAAGTTTCGCACAGAGTTCTACAGGAAGCAAAAGTGTGGGTGCTTGCTTAGCCATCAGCTTCTTTTAAATGGTAAAGCAGAAAACTCCTGAAAATACTCCTGGGCACTTCTGTCCCCATTCGCCCAGAGCAGAAAATATATACCTCTGAAGTAAATTATCTGGGGGCAATAGGAACCTTTGGGGTATGGAAAAAGATGCCATTTATGTTAAGTTGTAGTGTGAAAAACGTTCATAAAGAAAATACGTTGCTGTAGCCTAATTCTACATGCTTTCCTTCCTGACTCCTCTTCAATAAGAGGTGTGTGATTCCCTTTCAGCTGGAAAATTCTGTGATTTCTCTGTGACATAAGCAAATCTTAGTGGGTATGTTCAATGGCCTGAGGGGGATTTTAGACAAAAGGGGAAGATCCTCCTCTGAGGAAAAGATGATCTTACCTGTCTCATGGTTCAGAAACACACTTTGACATGGTTTATTTCAGATGAAGGTCTTGAGGCTGTGTCTGGAGCTGGAGGAACGGTTGCTGCACGTGTCCATCTGTGGCGGCCTCCTCTCTCCTCTCATTAATGTGCTGATCCCTGTCTTGGGGAAGGAGACCCGAGGGTCAGTTTTTTGTTTTGCCAGCACACTAGAGAACAGGCTCATTGGGTTTTTCCACCAAGAAGAATCATGTCTTAAACTCGCCACCTTTACTAAGCACGCTATAACACCGGGAGTCTCTTACAAGAATCTGCATTTCATTGTAGTTAGCTAGGCAAACACTGGAAAAACTAGGATGAAATCAGTTGACAAAAATTAATGGATTCACCAAAACCATTCACGGAGCGCCATGCCCAGTATGTGTCAACACTGTACTAAGTACTGGGGGGTACAAAGAAGAGTAAGACAAGAACCGTCCCCAAGAAACTTTCATATGGGAAGGAGGAAGATGGGTGTTGATGGGAAAGCACATGGGAGCCCTGACAGCACTTGTGCAGAGAGGGGCCTCAGGGTAGGGAGGTGACACAAAACAAACTGAGGGTGGCTGGGGGTTAGGGGGGTGGGGAGAGGGTGGTGGGGTTATGGACACTGGGGAGGGTATGTGCTATGGTGAGTGCTGTGAAGTATGTAAACCTGGCGATTCACAGACCTGTACCCCTGGGGATAAAAATACATTATATGTTTATAAAAATTTTTTTTAAATATTTTTTAAAAAGGCAGGGAGTTGACAAAGTAGGGAACGGGTTGCGGAATAGAAAAGACTCATAACTGATAAGACAACAACTTGTTTGTGTTGAGTTTCTGTGTGTCTCTTAAATGACAGGAAAAGGTAATCAAAGAGCCAGAGCGAGCTGGGTTTGAAGATAAATTAATACACGTGTCACGTGATTTGAATAGAGCTGTACTACTGAAACTAATTCACGGTTCCTTCCGAAAGATTATCACAATATATGAAGTGTGTATTGGGAGCGAGTTTCCTTCTTTGTTTGGAGCCGCATTTTTCTAATAGACAAAGCTAGTCAGCTTCAGGAAATGTTTGCCATCGTGAGATATAAACTTTATTGCATCTCCTTCCAAAGGCAAGTTGCCAAGAGAAGATGCCACCCCTTGAATTACGTCATGTTATTACCTATCTGACATATTACCAGGGTGTTTATAAAAGCTGAAACAGTATTTTCTCTGGCATTAACTTAGTTTGTAAAACTTAGAGACCCTGGCTGAGGTGGATTGATCTCAATTTATCTCAGATTCTTGGCTCCTCACTTATATAGGCCCCTTCCAAGGGGTCCTAGCAATATTTTGTATTCATAATTTTGTATGTTTTTATTAGACAGAATTTCCCAAAGTAGGTAAGGTTCAGGCCCCACAAGATCCTTGATTTACCCCTGGGTTTCAGGTAATTATAACTCAATAAGTTTCTTGAATGGAGCCTCTAAGTTATTGATAAGTACCAAGTGAACTAGTTAGCAGTGTGGTAAAGTCTATTTTGAATCTGAAATCCACCTCAAAGACATGCCAAGAGCTTATTAATAAGGTACCATTTTGGGGGGTTTATTTCATTTTGTTTTAATAAGGTACCACTTTTTGAATGGTAGGAATAATCCTATCTCTTTCAGATGAAATCAGGAATGAAATTTATTACGGAAAACCCGCAGTAGTTGATAATCCTAAATGTAAAGTACGCTTTTTTTTTTTCTGACTTTAAAGTGCTTCTCCTTCATTCACCTACACAGGTCCAGACTGATGGCTTATTTTTTAAAATTCTTTTAGTCACTTCATTGGTTCTAACAATACAAGCTCCATGATTTTAGAAACTGAAGGACTGTACAATGTAGAAGGGCTCTACCTAATCCACATAGAGCACATGCACACTCTGGCTTGTCTGTGGTGCCTCAGTGTTGTGCCAAGAACATGAACACGGAGAGAGAAAGAGGGAAATCTCAGCCTTATCCCTACGGAATTATGTACCCCACTGTTGAGAATACCGCTGAGGTAGTTGTGGCCACACTGTGAAGGCAACTCGAGCTGCGGTCCCAGAGACAGCCTAATGCTCCCCCGTCATCCAGCATTGGTTTCCTTTAGGTGGCTATGTGCACACACAAGTTTATACACCTCAGGGTATCGTCATCACTTTTTGCTATGTACTGGAAATCCTGGCAGCTTCTTCTCAGATTCAGAAAGGCATAAACATTAAGGATGAAAATAACAACTCTGGGTCTGTCCTTTGAGGGTACTTCAAGTGGCTGTTTCATTCTTTTCTATTTGTAATAGTTCAAAAGGTTTGAGATAGTCTGACTCTGACCCAGTAACTACTATACCTTCCTTCTCCCAGCCACATCTTATTCTTCCCACGTATATAGCAACGTATCTTCTTTCTCTTGGGAGCATAGTAGTTCCTCTGCTATCCCCATAACATTTCTTTATTACCTACCTCTGGTAGGCACTCACCGCATTCCTGGCACTCTGCTAGGGGCTTTTACGTATCGTACAAGCCAGACAGTGATGCCCATCGCTCTCAGTGCCTGGCACATAGAAAATGCTCAACACAGGCTCCCTCACACTGTATCTCATTTTCAGTTTTCCAACAGCTCTTGCAATGTAGATATTGTCATCCCCGCTTTGGGAAAGAGGAAATTGGAACTCAGAGATGTTGGGCAACTTGCCTAGGCTCACCGTGAAGAGGTGGCAGGACCACTTAGGAGCTCTGCAAGTAACGCAGCTCCACATTCCTTTGGACTAAGTGCTGAATGATGACTATTTGTCGTTTTGTGAGTTGTCGCTTGGAGTTGGTCTCTAGCTGGAATAGGACCCATAGAGCAGAGAACTCCTTTTCCCTATGACAGTCCCATGCTTCTGGAGCTCCTGGCCATGCCACCTCTGGGCAGCCCCAGGCTTTCTGCTCACTGCCCTGGACAGATGTAACATCATTAGCACTGAGCACCGACTCTGTGCCCTGCCTTATGCAAGCTGCTTTGCACAGGCTCTTTTCATTTAATCCTCGGATCGCCTCATGAGGTAAATGATACTGAGACTCCGAGCTGTCACTCAAGTCAATTTACCAAGAAGTGACAGCCAGAATTCAAACCTAGTTCTGCCTGATTCCAAGGGCCCTTGGAATCAAGGGCTTGCTGCTTCCTCTCTTCCTCACTGCCGGGAACTCTTCTTCAAAGCAGTTCTCAGAACTTGGACTTGAATATAGGCCCACCATTTCAGATTCTTTAACCTTCGCCCTCCCCCGCCTCCGAGAAAGGATTGATGTCATGAAGTTAGATGTCTTGTATTGAGGACCTTCACATGGGGAGTTATGTCCTCGTGGCTCATGGACCTATGTAGATGAATAAAGGAAAGGGGTTACTCCATCCCCAAGTACTTCAAACATACTGGAACAGGGTCTAGGTCACTCTACTTAGTTCTTTGACTGCCTTCCTCCAAGGAGCCAGTTTTCCCTGCCTGCCTTGGGATTCTAGCACAGACAGTTTAGAGTTTGTCCTATTTTAAATTTATTTTCACTGCCTGCTTTGGACATTTTTTCAGCTAAAGCTGTTAGGATTTCAGTACATTCAGGACAGTGATGACATGCTTCAGTCCTCAATTCTTCTCTGTCTCCTCAGTTAATAGAAACGATACGTAGCCCATCTGTCTGGACCTGTGTAGAAGAATTTGGAGAAAAAAAAATTACAGGTAAGAAATGTTCCCTTGTTTTGTGAGCTACCTTTCATCTGTCCCGTTGTTCTGCAGCAAAAGGCTTTTGCAAGAATACTCGAGTTTTCCTCTTCAAATAAGATATATTTTTAGAAAATCATTTAGAACAATATTTCTTCAACTTTGATTATGATACAGCCTTTGAAGCCTCATAACTGTTGCTATGTTTTACTCCCATAAGGATAAGCCCGTAAGGATAAGGGTATATCGACTAGGAGTCAGCACACCTTTTATCTGTGAAATGAGGGAATTGAACTGGAAGGGAAATGGTCTCTAGTGTGATGACCTTGGAGCATCTAAAACCACTCGTTTCCTGATTTGTAGAAAAATAGTTACTGCAGAGAACCCCACATGTAAACTGTTGGGTCAGTTCTCATTCTGCCCTTCCCCCAGGCACAGCTTTCATGAAGAAAAGACAGCACTAAGACAGGAAGAGAAAATAGGATAATTTAGAGTGGCCCCATATTTTGGTTTCACTAGGTATAAACACAGGATGTAAATCTCAGTAGGACAAGGGTGGTCTGGTTAGGAGGAAACACTGAGATGATAGATACAAGGCCATGGGTGAGCACCCAAGAAAGACTGGAGGGTTAGAGAACTGAGATAACTTGGGGGGAAGAATAACAAACTCTTAAATTGTTTTGATACATAACGCTTTATAGTCAGTTTTAAAAATAGTGGTGGGGAGGTTGGGCAGGGAAAGACGCACAGGAGCTCACTTGCTTGTCTTTTTATTGAGTTGTAAGAGTTCTCTATAAGTGAGCACACTGCCCACCAGTAAGCTTATAGATTTTAATGCCAATTTTTTTTCAAAGCAAAGGACATTCAAAGCCTCAAAGTTGAGGAATTGTGTCTAACCAGACATGTGACCCTCCCAATTCTTCCTCTTCATAACGTGATCTTACTGAATATTAACTAGTGTTACAAATCCAACATTTTAATGGTACTGAGAAAAGATCTAGAAGCATGGGCTAGAATAGGAAAAAATAGGGGAGTTTCGAAGGCAAGAACAAAAATGCATGGTTCTTCCTCCTCCCACGAAGAAAGCATGACTCCCAGCCTCACCATTAGCTCCCTCTGACCTCCATTGTAGAAGAGTCTGAATCTTTGCTCCTCTTTTCTCCACCTACCAACATATTGGTCTTTTGACAACTGGTGCTCTATTTATTATAAGATGGTTCTTTTTTAAAATTGAGATTTAATCCACATAATATGCAACATGATAAAATATACAGTCCAGTGGTATGCTTTGATAGACAACAGTCAGCGCTAATTTCAGGACATTTTCATCACCTCCAAAAAGAAGTGTCATTCCGTCAACTATGACTCCCCATTCTTCCCTACTCCCGGGCCGTGGCGACAACTAATTTAACTTCTGTCTCTACAGATTTGCCTATTCTGGACATTTCATAGAAATGTGAGTCTAGCCTCTTTCACACAGCATGTTAGCTTCAAGGTTTGTCCATGTTGTAGCATCTCTCAGTACTTCCTTCCTTTTTAAGGCTGAAAAATATTCCCTTTTATAGATAAATCACATTGTGTTCATTCCTCAGTTATTAGACATTTGGCTTGTTTCCGCTTTTTGACTATTATCAATAATGCTGCTATGAGTATTCATATACAAGTTTTTGTGTGGACATATGTTTTTTAATTCTCTTGGGTACACACCTATGAACTACAGGACACAAACTGAGGGTTTTAGAAGGGAGGGGAGTTAAAACAACAGCTCTCACTGTTCTTGTAGAAATTAATAAATTTTATTTAACAAATGCTCTCTGAGCCGCTGCAAGTCCATTGGTTAAATTTTCCACAGTTCTAAAAAAAATCGATTCTGACCATTTTGCCAGTTTTTTTGTTGTTGTCGTCGTCGCTGCTTTGATGGAGGGGTGAATTTTCAGATGTCGTCGCTTTCCCACTTTCACTGATAAAATGGCTTTATATCCCTAATATATAAAATGGCTTTAAATTCCTAAAGTCTCAATAACCATTCATTAATTAAGTACTTAATCATGGGAGATGATTAGAGAAAGGAATAAAAATAGAAAATGTAATTCTCAGAGAAGCTCTCCCAGATGGAGAGATGAAGTTCAACAAAGTATTTCTGTATTTAGTGCTCTCAAAGTCAAGTTTAAGATAACAGCTGTATTAAACCCCCTTTTCTTCATATGAATTACACACAGGCTTTGGAGTCAAAACTGAGTTCAAATTCCAGCCCTGCTTCTGAGTGGCTTGACAATCTAGGACAAAGTACATAACCTTTCTGTACCTCAGTTTCCTTGTTTGTAAAATGGGGTAATGATAATATCAATCACATAAGGTTATTGTGAGGATTAAATGTGAAATGTTGATCACAGATGCCTTACAGCCCAACAGCATTGGTTGTGATGCTTGTCTTTCTAATATCTGGCAAAAGTACAGTAATAATTCTTGAGTAGAGTCAACCTCAAAGCAGATTTTCTTTTCTTCCTTCCTATTTCTTTTACTTTTTTGTTTTAAAGAATTGAGAAGAAAATCTACATTTTAGAATAAAAACTTGTGTCAAAGAATGACGAAACGTATTTATTTATTCAACAAACATTCATTAAGTAACTAGTAAATAACAAGCGCTATGTCAGGCACAGGGACAACAATGACAATCAAGTATGGTCCCTGCCCTCAAGGAGCTGACAGTCCAGGAGACTGACCAGGAAACAGGTGACTACATGCTATGACAAAGGCTGTGATACAAGGATACACGAAGTGTGTGGTGGGAGTGTAGCTTTCACCAGTTCCTCCTACATTCAAACCCTCTTGTTTCACTACAAAACCGAGGAATTGGTCTTTAACTGGGTGGCTTAAGTTGTGGAATTTTTTAAATTTCTAGAGACCTTAAATCATGGAGGGCACTAGAAATAGTATACTTCCTACAGAGCCACGGCTTTCTACTAGTGTAGTCATTTCTGGGGTTTTCAACTTAGGAAGAGTTCTTTGACATAGTTTTCCTTTGCCATCCACCTAAAAAAAAATGTTTTTCCTCTTTCTCTTCCCCATATTATCATCCAGAGACCTGGGTAGTTTCCAAAGGAAGAATGCGTTACAGATTTATAGGCAAAGGCAGAAAATGATTACTTTTAACCTTCAAGTTCCATGCCAAAAAAATGAACATAAAATTTCATGGCAGTTATTGAAAATGCAGATAATTCTAATTCCATTGCATTTTTCAGAATTCTCAATCGTAATCCTCTGACAACTGTTGAAGATTCATATCTTTTTAAATTGCCAGCATTAAAATATTTGTAAGTATTACCACAATCTCATGGCTCATGAGATGATTTCTGCTCTTTTTAAAAGATTCAGTATTTTGCATTTTGATTAAAAGTCATAATTTAAATTTTAACTGGGTTCTCAAAATAAGAATTATTGGCAAAGAAAGAATGTATACGGGCTAGACAGCCTGCAGAGCAGCATTGAAGAACTCATACAGAGATGGAACATGCAGATGTAGGCAGAAATACCATTTATCACATGTGTAGAAATATCATTTGTCTCAAAAAGAAAAGTGGAATAAGATGTACATTATTTTTTAAAACAAGAGAGGTGTATGCAATTGAGAATGAGAAGTAGGATTAACAGCAAAAAGAGGTTGTACGGTTGATCACCAAAGTGATTAATTTGATTATGCACATAGATTTAAATTTCTTCTGTAAGAGTTCTCTGAAATTATTGTCCACAGCAAGTTAAGTCTTGAGCTGGCTTGACAGAATTGGTAATCACATGTTAAGTATCTTTTTAGGTACAGAATTTTTGTCTTTGGCATCATGCATGTTTGGGCTCTCTCTTTCAGAGACATGGGAACGACACAGGTGACCCTTACAACAATTGAGAGCATCCTCATGATGACCCTTGAATTGGAAAAACTGTAAGCTGATTTTTCTTATATTTATTTTCACTTGGTTCTTATTTAGGTTTGTTTTCTTCTTAAGTCAGATTTATTGAGGTGTAATTGTCATTTAATAAAATTTACTCTTTAAGTATATAGTTCGATGACTTTTGGCAGACATAGTTATGTAACCACCACCACATCCGAGATACAGAACATTTCTGTTTGCAGTCAATCCCCTTATCCCACCTCCAGCCCCTGGAAAACCACCGGCCTCATTTTCGTCCCTCTAGCTTTGCCTTTTCCACCAGGTCTTATAAACGAAATCAGACAGTGTGCGGTCTTTTGTGATTGGCTCCTCTCACTCAGCATCATCCTCTTGGGATCCTTCCACGTGGCTGCGGCTCTCTGCCGTTCATTGCTTTTCATTGCCGAGTAGTGTTCCGGTTGTGTGGCCACACCGGTTTATCATTCATCAACCAATGGACGTTTGAGTTCTTAGTTTTGGGGCTGTTATGAATAAAGCTGCTAAAAGCAGTCACACGCAGGTTTTCGTGTGAGCGTACGGCTTTCATTCTGGAGGAGGTAAATTTTAAATTGGTTATCTGGTGAAATACCTAATGGTAGGATTGCTACAACATATACTAAGTGTGTATTTAACTGTTTAAGAAACTGCTTACCTGGGGGCACCTGGGAGGTCGGTTAAGTGTCCAACTCTTGATTTCGGCTCAGGTCAAGATCTCAGGGTCGTGAGATCAAGCCTCCAGTTGGGGCTCACACTGTGTGTGGAGGCTGCTTCAGATCCTCTCTCCCTGTTCCTCTCCCTGCCCCTCCCCCTGCCCCTCCCCACCCCCATATGCCCACGCGTGCAGTCTCAACAACAAACTACTTACCTGTTTTCTAAGGTGGATGCATCAGGGGCACCCGGTGGCTCAGTGGGTTAAAGCCTCTGTCTTCATGATCCCAGGGTCCTGGGATAGAGCCCCACATCGGGCTCTTTGCTCAGTGGAGAGGCTGCTCCCTCCTCTCTCTTTCTCTGCCTGCCTCTCTGCTTACTTGTGATCTCTGTCTGTCAAATAAATAAATAAAGTCTTTAAACAAAAATAAAGTGGATGCATCAGTTTGCATTCCAACCAGCAGCATATGAGATCTTCACCTTATATTTCAGTTAAAAATTTTTTAGACTTTCTTGTAGGTATGTATGTAGCTGTATCTCATTGTGGCTTTAACTGCATTTCTCTTAACAGCTCATGATGTTGACTGTCTATTCATGTACAGACAGCTTTTTAAATGATGTGTCTGTTTAAAACCGTTTTTCTTTTCCTTTCCTTTTTTTAAAAGATTGATTTATTTATCGTAGAGAGAGTGAGTGAGTGTGGTAGGGGAGAGGCAGACAGAGATGGAGAGAGAGAATCTCAAGCAGACCCCCACGGAGCATGAAGCCTGACTCAGGGCTCAGCTCCACAAGCCCGAGGCCATAACCTGAGCCAAAATCAAGAGTCATACACTCAACCAACTGAGCCATCCTGGCATGCCCAAATCCAATTTTTAATTCTGGAAAAAGTCCTTTCTTTCTCTCAGATAGATGTTTAGCAAATTTCTCCCAGGTGGTAGCTTGTCTCCATTCTGTTTTATCTCTGAAGACCAGAAGTTTTTAATTTTTAAATTTTGATGAACTCACCTATTTTACCTATCTTCCCACCCCCTGTCCTCTCTGGTATCAGTTTGTTCCCTATAATCAAGAGTCTGTTCCTATAATCCCCATCAGTTTGTTCCCTATAATCAAGAGTCTGTTCCTTGATTTGTCTCTCTCTTTCTCTCTCTCAATTCCCCTTTGCTCAATTTTTTTTTGTTTCTTAAATTTCACATAAGAGTGAGACCATATGGTATTTGACTTTCTCTGACTGACTGACTTCGCTTATATTACACTCTCTTGCTCCATCCATGTTGTTGCAGATGGCAAGATTTCATTCTTTTCATGGCTGAATAATATTCTGTGTATGTGTATGTGTGTGTGTGTGTGTGTGTGTATATATATATATCTATATATATATAGATATATATATATATAACTCCTAGGACATTCTGGGATATATATATACCCTAGGATCCTAGTACATTTTATACATATGTGTGTGTGTGTGTGTGTGTGTGTGTGTGTGTGTGTGTGTATCACATCTTCTTTATCCATTCATCTGTCAATGGGTTACTTCCATAATTTGGCTATTGTAAATAATGCTGCAATAAGCATAGAGGTACGTGTATTGCTTTGAATTAGTGTTTTTGTATTCTTTGGTTAAATACCCAGAAGTGCAATTACTGGATCATAGAGTAGTTCTGTTGATTTTTGTGGGGAACCTCCGTACTGTCCTCAGTGGCTGCATCAATTTGCATTCCCACCAACAGTGCACAAGGTTCCCATCTCTCCATATCCTCACCAAAATGTGTTGTTTGTGTTTTTATTTTATTTTGGTTTTTATTTGTTTTTATTTTATTTTATTTTGTTTTTATTTTAGCCATTCTGACAGAGGTCTCATCGTGCTTTTGATTTGCATTTCCCTGATGAGTGATGTTGAGCGTCTTTTCATGTGTCTGCTGACCATCTGTAGGTCTTTTCCTTTTTTAAGATTTTATTTTATTTATTTATTTGACAGAGAGAGAGATCACAAGTAGGCGGAGGGGCAGGCGGAGAGAGTGGGGGAAGCAGGCTCCCTGCTGAGCAGAGAGCCCCATGCGGGGCTCGATCCCACGACCCTGAGATCATGACCTGAGCCGAAGGCAGAGGCTTAACCCACTGAGCCACCCAGGTGCCCCTAATTCAGGCATTCTTAATTTGGGATTTCTGAATGGTTTTCATGAATGTCCTAGAATTATATTCAGTATTAAACATAATTGTATTTTTTTTAAACATTTTATTTATCTGTTTGACAGAGAAAGAGATCACAAGTAGGCAGAGAAGCAGGCAGAGAGAGGGGGAGAAGCAGGCTCCCCGCCAAGCAGAGAGCCCGATGTGGGGCTTGATCCCCAGGACCCTGAGATCATGACCTGAGCCAAAGGCAGAGGCTTAACCCACTGAGCCACCCAGGCACTCCAGATCTTCTTTTTTAAAGATTTTATTTATTTATTTGAGAGAGAGCACAAGCAGGGGGAGGGGCAGAGGGAGAGGGAGAAACAGACTCCCTGCTGAGCAGGGAACCCCACATGGGGCTCAATCCCAGGACCCTGGGATCATGCTCTGAGCTGACAGTGGACGACTAACCAACTGAACCACCCAGGCACCCTTGTGTGTCTTCTTAGGAGAAATGTCTCTTCATGTCTTCTGCCCATTCTAAACGGATTATTTGGGGGGTTTTTTTTTGGTGTTGAATTGTATAAATTCTTTATACATTTGGAAACTAAACCTTTATTGAATATGTCACTTGCAAATATCTTTTCGGATTCAGTAGGTTGTCTTTTAGTTTTTTGGTAGTTTTCTTTACTATGCAGAAGCTTTTTATTTTGGTGTAGTCCCAATAGTTACTTTTGCTTTTGTTTCCCTTGCCTCAGGAGACATACTTAGAAAAATGTTGCTAAGGCCAATGTCAGAGAAATTACTGCTTGTGTTCTCTTCTAGGATTTTTATGGTTTCAGGTCTCACATTTAGTTCCTTAATCCATTTTGAGTATATGGTATAAGAAAGTGGTCCAGTTTCATTCTTTTGCACATAGCTGTCCGGTTTTCCCAACAACATTTATTGAAGAGACTGTCTTTCCCATCGCATGTTCTTGCCTCCTTTGTCAAAGATTAATTGACCATATAATTTTGAGTTTGCTCCTGGGCTTCTATTCTGTTCCATTGATCTATGTGTCTATTTTTGTGCCAGTTTTGATTACTAGAGCTATGTAATATAACTTGAAATATGGAATTGTGATACCTTCAATTTGGTTTTTCTTTTTTGCTTTGGCTATTCCGGGGGTCTTTTGTGGTTCCACACAAATTTTATGATTGTTCTAGTTCTGTGAAAAATGCTGTTGGAATTTTGATAGGGATTAAATTAAATCTGTAGATTGCTTTGGGTAGTAACCATAGATCTGCTTTCTGTTACTAAAAATTAGTTTGCATTTTCTAGAATGTTATCTAAATGGAATAATGTGGCAAATACTCTTTTCTAACTGGCTTCTTTCATTCACCATGATTATTTTGATTCTTTCATGTTGTTATGTGTATCAATAATTCATTTTCATTGCTGAATAGTATTCCATTATATGGGTGTGCCACAATTTATCTGCTCACCATTGATGGACATTTGAGTTGTTCTAATTTTTGGCTATTAAAAATAAAGCTTCTATGATTATGCATGTATAAGTCTTTGTATGGATACATACTTTCATTTCTCTTGGGGCAAATAACTGGAAGTAGAATGGCTGGTTCATATGGTAAGTGGGTGTTTAAGTTTTTAAAAAAATATTTTCCACAGTGGTTGTACCATTTTACATTCCTACCAACAGTGTATAAGGGCTCCATTTTCTTCACATTTTTGCTAATACTTGCTATAGTAAGTGTTTTTAATTTTAGACAGTTTAATAGGTATTTAGTGGCTTTTGTTTGTGTGTGGCTTTTATTTGCATTTCCTTTATGATTAATGATGTCAGATATCTTTTCATAAGCTTATTTGCCTTTCGGCTGTATTACTGAATTTTGAGAGTTCTTCGTATGGTCTGGAAACAAGTCCTTTATCAAATAAATTTACTATGTATTTTCTCCCAATTTGTGGATTATTTTTTGTTCTCTTAAGAGTGTGCTTTGCAAGGTAGAAATTCTTAATTTTTATGGAGTCCAGTTTATCCATTTTTTTTTCTTTTGTGGGCTATGCTTATGGTGTCATATCTAAGAAATCCTGCCCAACTGAAAGTCATAAAGCTTTTTCTCCTGTATTTTCTTTTAGACATTTTATAGTTTTAGATTTTACATTTCAATCTTTGAACCAATTTGAGTTCATTTCTGTATGAAATGAACTATGGTTACTACCCAAAGCAATCTACAGATTTAATTTAATGGTT